AGATCCGGCTTCACAACAACAACTCGGTGTGCTGAGAATTGTGGAAAATTGAATGGATGGGTATCTATATTGTGATTGCAATTAATACAATGGTCTACTCTATAGCGGCATGTACCTATAAATCTCTGATTGAGACAGCCGAATCATTTATGTTTGTATATCTTTGAACAATTCGAGGTGAGTTGAGTTTAGTTGAAAAATAGGAGCTGTGCTTATCTTAGTGCAAAGGCATAGTAGCACCCACCCGCACCCCAATCCGAGGGCCTATGATCATTGTTTAGACAGATGCATCATATAGTAAGTTTTCGAGTTGAGGAATAGAACCTGTGGCTATCTCAATCCAAACGTACTGCAGCGAATGCGTGTGCCTACGATCCTTGTGTAGATAGGTACATCCTGTAGAGCTCACAAACTGCGCTACAAGGCCTTTGATTGTATTGCTTAAGCTGCAAACCACGGGATCAATTATTGCATACATCATTGTGACTTGAGGTTCAATTGTTATATCTATTTTAGCCTCTATTTGAACTATTTTGACCACCAATTTAACCATTTTAACCACTATTCTCATTGCAGGAGTGTTTAGTAAACAGTGGATAAACACAATGAGTGCCAAGAAAGCGATGTTGGCGACCACTGCTGTCTACTACCAGGGACTGGCACAACAGAAAGAAGGGTATGTACCTCCACTGAAATTTAGTCATAGACTACACCAGGCAGAATGGCCGACTTGAGATATCTGACTTGCTAACTGTATATATATATATATATATATATATGTCTTTCTTATATCTTTTGGTATTGCGTGTAACGTTTTATCCGGAATTCTAATCCGCCGTGATTTGTGTTTTCACTCTATTGACAGAGAATACGGCCTGTGCGTGGCGTATTTAAAGGTAGCAGACACGCAGATGAAGAAAACAACGCCGAAATTGGCCAAGAGTGCTGATGTGGCGTTATTGGTTAGCGCCGATAAGATTGCCACAGATTACAAGGATGCCAAAAGCGAGAATGAGAAGATATACTTCCAGGTGAGCGTGTTTGTCTTTAGCGTGCTTCACAATGCCGCGAGATGGGGATTTGTCTGAATTTTAGAGAGCGATTATGAGCTTTATATCAATGTCTTGGGCTGATTTAGGGCATCCTAAAAATCCCAAACCCAAAAACTACTCAGTAACTGTATTGTGCTGAATAGATTGAGGTTGAAAACTAGAAATTTCCGGAGGAATGCGGATGTGAGAAATTCCTAGCGATCGTCATGCCTTGAGCGAAGGTGTTGGTTGGTTATATCTTCATTGCTGCCTTGACCTTATCCGTTCTCCCAGCCATATTCGGCAGCCTTTGCTATCCATTTATCTACCACTTGAAGCCCTGTTCGTAGCCTGTGATATGGCGTATTGCTGACATGCGTTATAGGGTTCACGGGGTTACCTAAAACCCTAAACCCTGAGAAGTGGATGATGCAACAAGTCATCTCGGTGGAGCGTTTTGATGCCGAGCATATTTGCTCGCATATCTCTAGTACTCCTTTGTAAAGCATTATTGGCAGTTGCGCACATATGTCCCATTTCCATCTGCAGCGAATCATTCGCAGTTGTTTGCTTGCGCACATACCGCTATTTATTTCTCACCCTTTCAGTCTGTCGCAATCGACGCACGCAAACATGATTTACTCATCTGCCAGGAATCATTAACAGTTGTACGCTGCCCACACATTCCCATTCGCACAGCCTCATTAGCCTCATTGACATGTGCTTACGTACATACACCTGACAATACTTTGGCTTGCTTACATACTTACATCTAGTCATACTTTGACATGTGTTTACGTACTTACACACAACTGACAATGCTTGCTCATATATCCAGCCTGTCGCAATAGATGCGGATGTGCCAATGTGCCCCCGTCATGTGATGGTAAAGGCTACTCCTCTGAGTCTGGCGGAGGGTGAGGATCTCTTGGCCAAGTTAGTGCCCGTAGCTATTCGCAACGCACACGCACGATATGTTGATGATGTGCAGAAACTCATCCGGGACGAAACCGAGAAGGTGGGGATATATATATATATATATATATATATATATATATATATGTGTGTGTGTGTATATATATAAATAATATATATATATATAGACATATATATATATATATATATATATGTAAATATAAATATATATATATATTTACGTCTATATATATATCTATAAACACATATTGAAATATATATTTGTAAATGTAGAAACATATATATATACATATATATACATATATTCATATAAATAAATAAATAAATAAATAG